CAGTGTGCAGAAGGTTGTCATTTCTGGGAAACTGCTGCTCCAAAGCTGCTTTAAATTGGAGGCTCACAGCCATTTGGGTTAATCTCACAGGATGGTGGCACGCCAGCTATCTCCCCTTGCGCATGTGGAGGCACAAACAACAGGTGTCCTTGTGACATCTGGCTTTTGTCCATGCTCTTCCAACAGCCCACTGGGCTGAGGACCTCTTTCTCGACTGGTCATGCCACAGGCCCACTGATACCAATGCACCTCTGTCCCAGCTAATCCCAAGAAACAGTGCCACCTGCACACAGCCCAAATGTTTCCATCCTCAGCACCAAGAACATTTCCTTGCACAGAGACTGCCCACATGGATCATGATGCAGTGTGGGCAGGTATTGCAAAGGTAGAGAAATCCTACAGTAACATGAGCCTTACTTCTGGGCCATGGTACTCACCCTTGGTCTTACTCTTCTTCTCACTCTTGAATTTTAAGAGTCCAGAAGCTCCGGGTTAGCTGTGGCCATCAGTAGAATGTGGAAATTAAACTGCCTTCACCAGAGCTAGCTCTGTTGCAGCCTGCATCTCGATCATCTGAAAAAGAGACAGTCCAGTTATTCTTGCTCTGGAGTGAAAAGGAGAGTAAGGGTGGGGGAAAAATGGAAGAGGTAGATCCTTCCCCAGAGCCAGCAGTTGTCAGCTTGCTCTCCTAGATGCTGTGGGCATGCGCTGATTGAGTACGCAACTGCGCTGACACAACTCTTGCCTAGCTAATTGTATTGATGTTGCTTACCTGTTGCTTTAAATCCAATCTGGACCAGGCTTTGTGCTCCTTGAGGCTGGATCACTTGCTGTGAGCAGTGGTTAGGTGCTGGGTAGTCTCCCATGTATAATAAATGAAAGAGAGCATAATAAGATACCAGCGTGAGCAATGTGTACAGTTTTGGTATAACTTATTGCCAAGGTATTGTTCTGTTTGCCTGTGCTGTGATGCACAAAGCAGCTTGTCAGCTCTGGGAAGTAATCCCTGCACCCAGGATCATCACTAGTCCCTCCTGCCTGGACTCTACAGATCTCCACAGGGCTGACCATGATCTGACCCTCTGAATGAACTCAATAATAATAAAGCCACAAGAGAAAGAGCGAAAAAGGCTAATAGATGGAGAGAGTGAACACCATGAATACATCAGTATGGTTTCCTCTACGTATTGTTCCAGATTCAGCATGTGTTATTTCAGAGCGCTGCATGGGTTAGCCCTACCACGTTAGCTCAGAGATACTGTGTCTTGTCCTGGGAACAGCATGGCCACATCAATGTGGCAATGCAAGCAGAGGCATTAGAAGGTATTTTTAGACTTTGTCGTCAGGTTAATAATGACCCCATCACATAATATGGGCTGTCTCCATCTCCAGAGCCATCTTTTCATGGCACAAGCCAGTGCAAGTAGAAATGTCTAAGAATATGAGAATGGCCAAGGGTTCATCTAGCCAGCTGCCCTGTTTCCATCAATGGCCACGAACAGACACAAAAGTGAAATAAGAAGATGACAAGTGTGTATTATAGTTCCCCTAAATACTTCTTCCAGCATTCAGCAATTTTCAGCTTAAGGAATTTCTTCTGATGCTGGTCTGGCCAGGTCTCTACATGAGAAAATGGGAATGAGAACAGCACATCTTCAGTGCCCGTGTTCCATAGGACTTTGATTTCACCAACTCCACATGGACCAGGCAACAACCTGGACCAAACAACAGTTTGCATGAAACTCACAGAGATTTTTCCTTCCGAAGATCATGGTTTTCACAGAGAATCCATTGAGAACAGATTTCGTGAAGCAGAAGAGGGCGAGATAAATTTGAGAGGAGTGGAAAAGGATCAGGCCATTACCAGAATCCATCCGAAATTCTCATATAGACATTTCTGTGTTGAAAAGAGAGAAGAGCATAAAGAGAGAAGGCCCCACCAACCTGCTATCTTCCTCACATACACGGGATTTGGTTTAAGGAATAATTGTTTCTAGCTGGATGCTTCTAGTTGAATACAGTTCTTCCTGAAGGATTTCCCACTTAAGTCTGGCCTTTAATTGGAAAGTCTCACCTCTGTTATCAAGAATGATCCTCGAGGGAGGAGTGTTTCTGGAAGGGGATGCACAGAGCTGAATGAAGGAATTCCAATCCTAATTTATCACAGGCAGACAAAATTTGTTTTGATGGCAGCATTAAGCGTCCTGCAACTTGATATAAACTGATGATCTCTTGCTTACTCTTGGCATTCACTCTTGCAAATGAATCACTGTTACTTCTGCCTCCCTGCCCACCCCTCCACTTGGTTCCTTTTTAATTTTACAGCTTCCTGAGCTTGACACGGGGAAATCGATAAGTAATTTAGAGCCCAGTAAATACAGAGGAAAACAAGTTATTTTGTACTTTTATAAATACTTGGAAACCAAAATTATCTAAGAAAACAGGTGCTCAGTTGACTCAGCAACCCATCCATCAGCATCACACAGTTAATTGCATAAGATCATAAACATTTATAATTAGAAAGCAAACAAACAAGAATTTTATAAACAGCCCTCTTGAATCAGGCTGCACATTAAATATTTGTGATAAGGTAATTAAGAATAGATTTACAATCCTGGCTCAGTGTTTAATACTTTGGAGAATGGATTTGATTCTATGGAGAATGTTCTACAGCCAAGGAGAAAACATTCGATTTCAGTTCTTTTATGCAAGTCTTAAAGTGATCTCAGGGAAACTTTGGCTCTGTCATTGATCAGAGTGGAATTTCATTCATTACAGATTGGATAGCTCTTTTAAATAGATGTCCAATGTCCCTTGTCATGGGCCCATCCACTCCAGGCCTGCTTCAAAGCTCTGTCTCCTTGGCTGGATCTGCAGGCTTTCCCTAAGTGCTGCTTTTTATGGTTGATGCTTTGATCAGAAGACGTCAGAATTCTCAGCCGTGTTTCAAAGTAGAGAGGAAAACCCACATTTTTCTATTATGACACATGGTGTTCGGTTATGAAAAGCTGGCATCACTATAGGATTACACCTGTGCAATCTCGGTGGCCTGTGGGAACCAGAGTGAAGATCTCTCTGACACTGTAGTGCCCAATGCCATTCCCTGTTCCAAAATAGCCAGATTTGAATACTTAAACCATCAATCAAATGTAATTACTTCTACAGCCAGTAAGCAGGCTCAGCACCCCATTATGCTGAATGTGAAAGTCCCCCTGAAGCTAATCTGTGATCAAGTCAGCAGGGCTTCTAGTTCTGCTTAGAACCAGAGAGGCTAGAAACTCAATCTGTACTGAAGCTACAGTTTAAACTCTGTAAAATCGGATGCAGACCCAAAGAAACCAGGTGGCTGCATCCCATGAGTAATGGGGAGGTCAGCTCGAAGGGTAAGATGACCTTCAGATATTTTGGGTTTTGATACAGCACGGGTTTACTTCAGTAATTACCTGTCATCAGAAACTAGAACAATCTGGAAAAGCTAGGTGGAGGGTAAAGCCCTAGCATTTGATTCATCAGGGATAGCAGTAAACCACTTTATTCTGTGGTGAACCATCATCTTCCAATACACTGCTGGTTGAGGCAACCTCCTCATTTCGGCATGATTCTGCTTCTTACTTCTTGTGCGTCTTTTGTTCTTTGTCCTTGTGTTAATATGCTTGTGACGGGTAGGGAAGAGACCTGCTCTTTCTAAAAATGTTTCTGATAATCTTGATCCTGACCAAGAACAGTAAAGCCACAGTTATTAAGAACAATGAAGCTATCCAGGTGCTAACTCACCCAGTACCTCCTACCTGCTGGTCTGGCTTCAGTTACATGGGGTGCAAAGGCACTTTCCTAACAACAGACAGATTGCTACAAAACAAGGAAACTCAGACCCAGCTCGTTCTGCATAAATCCCACTCTCTAGCAAAGCTTGTTAATTATGTGTGTGCCAACTAAGCCAGTCTACAGGAGTGGTTGCAGCTTCCTCCAGCCTCAGTGGAGAAGAACAACACAGTGTTGCAGTCACTGCTGTTTCTAGTGCATTCAAAGGGTCTAGCCAAAGCCTGGCAGCTTGGATAATAACAGAGCTTCATACTCAAGTACCGTCATCTTCTAAACAACTTCTAATATTATCTAATCCTTCAATCCTCTTTCAAGGGTAGGGAGGATGACAGAGCCTGCTGGGAGGTGAGCTAACTGATGGGTGGCAGGGCCTGAGCTACTCACTGTCTTTCACATGCAGAGACCGTTAGAATTCAGGTGTCCTACAGCCCAGTGCCATCCCTCGGACATGACTTCTGCTATATGCCGGTGGGAAGCAGGACATATGCATTACGTGCATACTTGGCACACGCACCGTGTGAGCTCACCTGCCCATTCTCTCAAGCGCGTTGCTCTCTCCTCATGGAAGGAAGCGATAACATATGATGAGGTACCTGCTCTGCAGATGAGCAAAACTTTGCCTAGGATGACAAGCCATTTACGGGTGTAGACAGACCCTTGTTTTGCTCTGGCCTCGCTATGCGTGTCTGCTCGGCTGCTGCGTGTGTAGGGAGAAGCTCGGGCAGTGCACGCACATGACGCTGGTGCAGCAGACGTCACCGGCACGTCAGATCCAGTTACAGCCCTTCCAAACACACGCCGTTGGCATGGTGAATCATGCCTATGCAGCATGCAAAACTAGTCCAGCGACAGATAAACCTCGGGCGCTTATTGGTAAACAGATACTGTGTTGCTGTAGGAGCATAACTCGCTCTGCTGCATTTACGATCCATTTATTGATTGCTGAGATAAAGCTGTAATCCTTTTAATTCAGGGGAAAAGGGATCCAGCAGAGCAGGAGCACTGGTGCTTTGCCAGTCAGTAATTAAAATATATGATTTATCTATCGTTGAATAAACAGTGGCTGAGGGAGAGCCAAGCTAACCAGCTAGCTGGGGGCAGGATGCTGGGGTAGGTTTATGATTCTCTCTAAAGTTTTGTTTCTGTTTTATGTTTACTTCTTTCCCCCTTCCCTCCAGGTCTAATAATACACGAAGGGCCCTCGGTTTACCGGATTTTTAAACGGTGGCAGGCGGTCAATCAGCAGTGGAAAGTGCTGAACTATGACAAAACAAAGGACATGGAGGAACAAAAAACAGGGACGAGGACAAATCAGCGCCCCTCCTCCCAAACCACCCACTCGTCCTCCACTGGTGGTACAGCCACTAACTCCGCTCCAGCCGACAGCGGGGCACGGGCTGCCGGCCATGCCACAGGCACCCTCTCTGACCACCACTGTGCTTATACCATCCTGCATATACTCAGCCACCTGAGGCCTCACGAACAGAGGAGTCAGTCTAGTAGTAACAGAGAGCTCGTCATGAGGGTCACGACGGTCTGAGCCGAGGAATTCAGGAGGCCTTATCACGAAGCGGAGGAGACAAAGAACTCATAAAGCAGAGGAGCATGGTGTGCCTTTTTCTTTCTCTTTCCTTTTCTTTTTTTCTTCTTTTCTTTCTTTTTTTTCCCCTCCTTTTCTTTTCGGTAACTGCACAAGATACAAGAGGCAGCACCTGGCCAGCTGAGGAAAAAAGCAGGTGGAGGGAGAGCTGCACACTCATGCTAAAGAGGTTAATGTTTTCCAGCCAGTTTAAAAAAAAAAAAAAAAGAAAAAAAAAAGAAAAAAAAAACAACAACACAAAACACAAAAAAAAAAAAAAAAAAAAAAAAAAAAAACAACAACACAAATCACAAAAAAAAAAAAACAAACAACAAAACAAGTGCAATACAGACTACAAACTGAGTAGGCAGAGTTCTGGGGAAGCAGAGGAACAGATGGTTGAGCATGTCTTACAAATCCTATTACCTGGAATAGGTAACGCTCTGTACACGCCCCTCCGTCCACACACGCACGCGCACACAAACACACACACACAGTGTGAGACTTATAAAAACAAGAAAGGGAATGAAATATTTGGAGTATTTTTATTTTCCAGATGGTGAACCAGGGCTATGAGTCATTTTGTTTCATGAGTCACTCTAGAGCTTTGTTCGATTTACCATAGGATACCTGAAGTGAAATAACCGGGGATTTTTCGGTATTGATTTACAGAAAGAGAGATTGAATCATCCTACCAAGAAAATCTAACAAAACCCAGGCGTATCCAAATTTCACCAAAACAAATATCCTGTTTTTTTCATAATGTTCCTGACAAAGGGTTTGTGAGGGGGGGAATTGGGGGCGGGGGGAGGGTGCTCCATGACCTTTATTCGACGTATAGGCATTTTGGGCAAATTTTGTACAAATGCTCCGCAGGTGTTTCAAGCACAAGTACTGGTGTGATTTATGCCTTCATAACCCCAAATCCAGCATCCCAATCTTGCCACTCACATCATTTTCCATGCAGACATTCCAGGTTAATTTCCTTCCATTGTACTCCAGTCACAAGAAGCTGACCCATCTCGGTGGGTTTCTGCTGCCTTGCTGATTTAGACACTCATGCATTAGAGATGTACATCTTATTTTTTTGTGTGTCTGTATCCCTGCTGCTCGATTTGCAACAGTCTCACTCAGTCTTGTAGGCTGAGCCTTTCACATCCAGTCTGTTAGTTTACTACAGAGTCTATTCCATTCAATCATTCAAGAGAGAGTTAATCTGAAGAGGGAACACAGTTGCCGACCGAATATGTAACACTTCTAATAAGTCTCCTTCTCTGGGATATATCCTCGAAGGTACCGGTTGCTCTTCAGGAACATTCTCTTTCAATGCACAATGGCTGAATCATTTGTGGATATTAAAGGGACACTGTCAAGTACTTTTTAAATAGTTTTTAGGGTTTGGGCTTTTTTTACTCTCCATTGTTTGTAATATTCTCTTACAAGCTTGAAAATAAAATTTCTTTCTTTTTCTACTGATTTTGTCCTTTTCCATTTGGGCACGTACCGTTCTCTCCACTCACCCCATTTCTTTCACCATCCCCGTCCTTCCTCTGCAACAGGTGACTGTCCTTGCTCTACGGAGGGTATGTCTCAGCTATACGGAGTTGAGCTGTTTCGCCAGTGCAAGTGCCACAAAGGAAGTGTAAGAGCAGGAGCCCCAAAAATCCGATTAGCCAATTGAAGAGCAACAGCTCAGCAACGCCAAAATGATGAGCCCGTAGTGATAAAGTTTGAACCCAACTCCCCCCAAAATTAAGATAAGGACTTCAGTCAAACTGTGTCCAGTTTGTAGAAGTGCTGAGCAACATTGCACAATGGCTGTGTCCGACTGCCTTCTGTCATCATACCAGCACCTCTTGCAGCTTCTACTGGAGCCAAGGCAAACACAAGCCACCAGCTCCTTCGGCAGCTAGGCCATCGTGGGTCAGGCGTTTCTGGACTGGGGAAGGTGCCCAGGTTTGAACACACCAGCCATTCTGCAACATTGAAGATGGAGGTTAGCATCTTAAGGCAGGTTGTATTTTACACCTCGATTACTTGACAGTGTCCCTTTGAATATCGGAATGCAACAGAACAGGTACTTCTCTGGCAGAGAATGTGGGAGATGAAACACCAGCCAAGAAAGCTGACTTACTGAGGACCCATGTGAAACTGCATGGTTTCTGAGGCCACTATACCTTTATCTGACCAATATTACTATCTACCAAAGAGTGCTTTTGGAAGAGAAGAGGGAAGGGATATTGGTGGGAGGAGGGAGAGGGAAGGGGCAATTCCAATCATCTCTAAAAGTGGCTACCCCAGAATGAAGGTGTTGCAATTAATGGTCTCTGGAAGAACTTCTTCTCATCGACAGTAGAGAGAAACCTGGCCAAAACAAGCAAACCCAGCAGCCTCTCGCCCCCATGCCTGCCCTGGAAGCTGTCCTCATTCCAAGAGATGGCTAATTGTGATGGTTTTGGGAAGGGGGAAGCACATACAGATGACAGGACAGCTGTCAGACATGATGTTGTTTCCCTCCCTGCCCTCCGCTCATTTAATGTGGAGATGTCAAATTCCTTTAATTTGGCTGACGGCTAAAAGTTCATGAGGTCAGAAGCACAACTTGCTGTGAAAGAGTGGTGCAACCTAGTAGTCTGAGCGCACAGGACTCTGCATACTCTCACTCCAGCTCTGCCACCGACTCTGTAGCCTTGGGCTGTTTGGCTCAGTCCCCCCTCCACGCAAGGGGGAATAACAATACGTACCTACCTCACAGGGGTGTTGTGAGAATCCACGTTGGTAAAGCCCGTTGAAGTGCTAAGTCTACCACTGGTAGTCACGAAGTGCGTGGTGGGGGTGAGCAGCGCTGCCCTTTCGTTGGTTACAGTCCGAATCACTCAGCGGGAGTCCCATCGGCCCTCTCCTGCTTGGAGATCCTCCTTGATCCGAAGCGGAGGGTGTCATCTGAGTGCCCTCTCCTCCATTGCATGACATTTTAAGCGGCTGTGAGGTGCAGGGTAGTGACAGACATGAAGTCCTACTTGACCAGGGATTTGCTACAACGTTTTCTATATCTGTGGGGTTTGTTGGTTTGGTTTTTCCATATATTGTGCTTAGAAATAAACTTTCCATTTAGGGCTGGCGGTTCGGGGTCTCTTCTGTTGCATGGCGATGTATACAAGTCTTATTGTCTGTCTTACTGTGCAAATGATCCCGCAGCCCGATTTCAGAGATGGGTATGGTCCGAGCCTTTTCATAGTGGCGTAAGACTCAAAAGCCCATCTAGACTGTTTAATATTTAAACAACACTATGAACTTGTCAATTGTATGTGTTCTGTGCAATACGAAGCATGTCATTAGCTGGCTTGATGGGCAGAGGGGCTAAAGGAAGGTCAAAACTTGTTCAAAGAGCTTCATACACGTGCCAGCATGGAGCCGAAGGGCTGCCACCAGCAAAGCAAACTCGGGGAAGCCATTGGAAACTGTTTTCAGAACAGTTTACTCCAAAACAAGGTACTTCTGAGTTTATGAACTTCTAGGCTGCCAGCCTGAGAGAACAAGTGCAAATTTAGTGTAGGGTTTGGGGTTTTGGATTCTGTTTTTCTTTCCTCTCCAAAGCATTGATGGCAGAAATACTGATGAGGGTCTTTTCCTTCCATAGCACAGTTCTCTCATCTCCCACAACCTCCTTGTGCCATCCCTTTATGCTACTATGCAGGACTTTAAAAGGTGCAAATGGAGACAATATGCTCCTGAGATGTGAAATACATTGCATATTGGGGGATTCTAGCAGACAGAAGAGATGGGGCAGAGCTATGCTACAGAAGGCATCTCTTCTTCCCTTCATATTTCCTCTAGCCTTGTCTGCTGGGTTCCTGCAGAAACGTTCTCTGTATTTTCTTAAAAAGCAGTCAGATCAGCTTCCACTGATGAACAAAGCTTGCAGAGTTTGGCAGCTCTTTCTCCCAGTGGAGAAAATTTCAGGTCCTATCACTGTGGAGACCCCTTAGTTCTTGGGCTTTGTGGTCCTCCAACACCGTTTGGGGGTGGTCAATGTGGAAGACTCTGTTCAGCCATCATCAGAAATCGTGTGTTTGTGTGGTCCTACTCATTCTTGTGATTTCTGCTACTCCTCTGATTTTCTGTCAGTTTCGACAGGTCTTTCTGCTAATGCTCTTCTGGTTATGCTCTTCAGAGGTGTTTTGCTCTGTGTCAGTTGCCAATGCTATTCTTGCCTACTGAAACATCAGTGCTGACCTCCAGCTTCCACAGCTCTTCCATTCTTACCATCCAGTCTCTTGCTAAACATCCACTGCCAATTTCTGACTCTCTTCCTCTGTGCCTGCAGTGGCTCAAGCACATGCACTAACCCAAGGGTCATCAGAGAACACAGGGACCATTAAGGGTCTGTATTAATAGTTGGACTCTGTAACCATCAGTTGTTCCTCTTTGATATATATTTATTTTGCCAATCTCAGTGCCTGCTGTTAATTAGTTGCTACAAAAAAAAAAAAACAACTCAAAAAAACCCCAAACAACAACATAATGGTAGCAAACCCCATATACCCAGCTAACGCTTGGTTTCCAGTTTCAAATGTCAGAAGTGATGGATTGTTTTTCAAGGAAATTAGATGTGGTTCCTCTTGTGGTTTCCACAGCAAGGTGCTGAAGAGATCCATGTCTTACCTTACCATGATGTGTGACCCAAGGAAAGAGGAAGTCAGCAGCATAGATTTGAGTCAAGAGAGGCATCAGCTGTCCACTATGTTTCTACTCGGGGAGACAGGTAAATACTACTCACATCTGCCAGGTCCCTGACCCTTCTCAAAGCCCTTTGTATCTGGCAGCAGTAAAAGGTCAGAGCCAATGCCTGTAGATGGAGGACAATTCTGAAGACTTTCCAGTTCTGAAGACCATCCCCTGCCCACGTGTAGTGGTCAGTCATTCAAGTGTCTTCTCTTTGTTTTCCTCAAGAGAAAAACCATTATTTTATTAAGCAAAGTAATGCTACTCTTCAGTGTAGGAGGAGGCTGCACCATTAGCACTTCCAACTTGTGGTTCATCCACCAGGACTCCTGCACATCTCCTTCTCCTACGTGAGAACGCACAGCCAGAAGACCTGTTCCTTCCTCTTACTATTGTATGTTGGTCAAGCACTCGGAGAGAAATATCCAGCAGTGCAATCACCTTAGTGACTATCGGTTGAGTATCCTAACCTGCCCTCCACTGTTC